TTGTCCTTTTGCCAGTTACTTGGGAGAAGAGACCGACCCCCACCTCGCTACAACCTCCTTTCAGGTGGTTGTAGAGAGCGATAAGGTCTCCCCTCAGCCTCCTTTTCTCCAGGCTGAACAACCCCAGCTCCCTCAGCCGCTCCTCAGAAGACTTGTTCTCCAGACCCCTCACCAGCCTCGTTGCCCTTCTCTGGACACGCTCCAGCCCCTCGACGTCCTTCTTGTAGTGAGGGGCCCAAAACTGAACCCAGTATTCGAGGTGCGGCCTCACCAGTGCCGAGTACAGGGGCACGATCACTTCCCTGCTCCTGCTGGCCACACTAGTTCTGATACAGGCCAGGATGCCGTTGGCCTTCTTGGCCGCCTGGGCACACTGCCGTCTCATGTTCAGCAGTTCCTTACAAACAGTTCAGGCTTTCTGACCCAGAAATCTCAGGCATCACAACCTTTCCCCCCAAAGAAAGAAGGACGGCACCAAAACCTTAAATGCCTTGCAGGGCTTCCAAAAAAGATTGTGGCAGCACTTCAAAAGCATCTGTTGAGATGTTCTGATACAGCATACGTGTATGCTAATGATGCAGCTTCTTGTAGCACCCTGTCCTGTGACAGGGACTGTAGGCACACCTACAGGTTCCTAGGTGAGGAACAGTCAGTGGGGAAGCAGTGAGAGAAAGGGATGTGGGATTCTCTGTGACGTGAGAAAGCTCTTCTCAGAGGTGAATCAAAGGAAATGTAACATCTGTTAGTGCAAAATGTCACCATGCCAGGAGCTAGGGGCTACAAGAGGTTTTGTCTGCCTTGTCCCTAGAAAAAGGACACCACCTTTGTCAAAGAAATTACCAAAAAAAATCTGTACTGTTACCTCAAAATCTTTCTTGGGTCATCTCTGCTTGTCAACTTGATGATTAAAGTTGCTTTGGAGCACAAACTGCACAGAGAAGACACACGAATGTAAGATTTGGAGGGAAAATGACTATTTTTCCCAGTAGTCAGAATTTAACAATACATCAAACTGCACAAAGCAACACAGTGCAGCAGTGACAGAGGTACCTGGCCCAGCTCACCTCTCCCTACAATAAACCAGCCCAGGGAAATGCTTCAGTAAGGTTTCGCTAATGCTAAATTGGCATAAGACAGCACCGGTGGCTGGAGAAGCAATCCTGATCTGCCCTGCTTTTGTCTGCCTCCTCCTGTACCTGCACTCTCTGCCAAGCCCTGGGGAGAGCTAAAACAGGAGACTGATCTGCTTTAAAATAGCCCAGCCAAAAGATTCAGCACCCACATTTAACTGCAGGAATGAGTGGAAGTGACCCTGGTTAAATTTGGTTCACGACAGACCAACTGGTCTTCGTGAGCATAAACATTGATAAGGGCAGATCTGCAGCATGGCCGAGCCTTGTGACTTGAATCCGTGAGAAAAAGCAGTTCGTGCCAGTGCAACAAGCCCAGAACCCACGGGCTATTTTTGCCAGAGAGGAAGGAAGATAAAGACGCAAATCCAAGTAAAGAACATTGGAAATTGCTTTCAGCAGACTCACTCTGAAATCTCAACATACTGAAGTGAATTAGGGACCACATTTTTAAAGAGCAAATGCTGACTCCTGCCCTGAAGAGGTTCGTTTACAGGCACACACACGACAACAGTTAGTACAGCTGAATACCTGTGTCTTTACACACAAAAATGACTTGGCCCTGTGGAACAACAGTTCTGCTAGCTTCCTCCTTGGCAGCTATGTTTGGCCAGTAGAAATGGACATAAACAAAAGCTTTGCGTGCACTTATACATAAAGGTAGTTGAAAACGTGGCCCTCGTCATTATTACCTGAAGATCACAAACTTTCGATAATTAAGAAGAAAACATGCAGGGAAGAATCAGAAATCAGTGAGGAGAAACACACACCTGACTTGAACTTCAGTGGTATTTCCAGATGTGGCAAAGGCATTTATGAGATGCAGAACTCCATCCTGAGAAATCCTATTATGGCTGAGACTGCACAGAAGAGAAGGAAGGTTTTTCAGGTGTTAAGAGTCAGGGTTGTCCCCAGGCTCCTCAGCCACAGAGGCGAAATTCAAGCTGGCACCGAACGCATGCACCAAACCCCTCCAAGACACAGCACTGATGACTTGGGTGACACAGAAAGTGCAACCTGCCTCCTGCACTACGGAGGCAGACAACCGCCGGAGCAGTTGCTTCCCCACCAGAAGGGGAAGGGGAGAGGCTGGTGTAGGGCACAGCTAAGCTCACAGCATCTATGCGCCTTGAGTTATTCAAAGAGGATAACGTACACAGAAAAGTGATGAACTGAAAACTCAGGGGACTGGGTCAACTTCTGCCACGCTACCCCCCTCTGGGCCTTGTTATCTCCTGAAGATGCTCATAGAAAGACTTTTACTTACTTCACAGGTTTTGGATCAGACCCTGAGTCACCCTGGCCTGGAGGTCTTGAGTTGTGCTCATGGCTCACTCAGACCTTACCTCCCAAGGCAGGAGTGGGCATGAAGCATGACAACCAGCTTCAGGAGGGACCGCGTGAACACCTTTCTGCAAGGGCACCTCACATTCACAGTATGTCTTCTTACTTGAGGGAACAGGTAACAGGCACTCGATGCAAGCGGTCCAAGAAGCACCTCAGGCCGTCATCTCCCAGCTGATTCCTGGAGAGACTGAAAGGCAGAAGAACAAGGCGGCCAATCAAAACTCAGACTTCTAAGCAGCAATGCTCCTCTGAGAAGCTTTGAAGGAAAAAGCCAAACTTCCTGGACTTAAATCCCAGCTTGGCCATTAAAGGTCTGTCTAAAACAAACTGCTGCCCTACAAAATTACCTCATGCATAAGCTCCAGAGCAAGCTCAAATGAAGAGCTCTGAACACAAGCTCAGAGCAGAGCCCAGGTGAAGCAACAAATGCCTCAAAACAGCCACAGAGTGAAAATCCCAAGGAATTTGTCCCACCAGCTCAAGCCCTCTTAAAATATATATATATATATAAAGGACCTGTATGATTACTCATCAATTTTGTTTCTAAATAGTCTGAATGAGCACACATACACACGCAGACAGGGTGGGAAACCCCAGGCCATGCTCTCCCTAGTTCCAAGGTCGTGGTAACAACCCAAGCCCCACTTACTCTACTTCTGCCAGCCACCCACGCTGCTCCAGGACTCTGCAGAGCTCATCTATCTGCCCTTGACCGATGGCACAGTCCGTCAGTCTGTGTATGAGACAGCAAGAGAGTTAAAGCACGGCCAGCAACCAGGCTCAGCCGGAGCAGTGAGAGCTGCCCATCAGCAGTTGCATTTTTACACCACTCTTTGTGCATCGTTCACTGAGATGAGTGCCCTTAGCTGCGCCAGTGTTTGATACTTCTCATAACACCTTCCTGAGGTTAGCAACAGCAAACCCCACGTTATAAGTGGGAGACAGATCTTTTCACATTTTTTGCCATCTCCTTGGTGCCTAACTGGAGACATGTTACAGTATTCTTTACAGGGGCACCCAGCAACCATCACTCCCAAAGAAGATGCAGCATGTATCACAAACACATCACACTGATGCTCATAGGGAAATTATCACCCAGAATTTGAGGCACACATATAGAATATGCGGTGGCTAGGGCTCAATTCAGTTGCTTGTCCGCAAGAGTTTGGTGCCACTCAAGATGATCGTGAGTAGTCCAATGGCCACTCCAGAAAGGCACAGGCCTCTGCCATCCCAATGCATCTCAAATGGTACTGAGTTGCACTTAGGCAGCTGAATTGAGCCCCAAAGCCTCAGCTACTAGCCCAAGCTCCTTGGCTACCAGCCCATGAGTTCTTCTCATAAGAGATTTGGCTACTTGCACTAGTGTTTCAAATCGAATCAAAACAAGTGAATTATAATTGTCATATGTCAGTACCTGCAGGATGTCTTTTGGCTTTGCGTGCTTGCTCCTAAATGCAAAAAAGCATTTTCACTTGACCTGAAGCAAACACAAAAGACAGTCCTTCAGCAATGCTCTTCAAAGATGACAAGCTTTGTAGTCCCTTTAAAGCTGAGCTGCTGGGCAGTCTGAGTGTCTTACCGGACTTCTACCATTCTGATCCGCCCACAGAGATTGATGGAGTTGATGAGTGAGACAGTGCAACGTGGGGAAAATGTGTTGTTCCTAATACTGAAAAGGAGGGGAAAGAAAGAACAACGGCATCAGCTCCCAAGAAGAAAGGTTCTGATACACATGGCCCAATTTTCCCATTGTTCACTTTGAGATGCAAAAGGCTGGATCCGCCCCATTTAACTCAAGATCAGTGAGCAAGGAGCTCAAGTTTTGAGCCTTGGCACCCAGCGTTCCCTTAACTAAAGGAGAGTCTCCTTTAGTCTCCTTTGACTAAAAAGGGAGTACAGACCAAGGGTTTACACTGAACAACTCCTCTTCAGGGCTACTGGACTAGAGATACACCAGACTGGAAGCAACCTCCCGAGTGAGCAAATTCAGTCTCTCATGACACTGCAGCTCCTCCATGCTACAACATCTTGCAAAAGACGGCCAAGCTCCTTCTGGGCTTTTCGTCCACATGGTGGGAGTGCCCTAGCCCCTGACAGCACCCCTCTAGCCTAAATTCCCAGCCTAAATGGCTGATACGCTGCCAGGAAACACTTCTGGTGTCGAGTGTGGCAGGATGCCAGATCCCTGCGGGGGCAGAGCTGTGAGATGCTGACCATGCACACGGGTGGTGTGCTGTCACTGTGTGTCAACCAATAAGTCCTACATCTGTTATGGATGCTGGAAGTCACGTTCCACGGGACCTGCTAAGTGAGGATTATCTGGGATGCTGTGCCTAGGGTGGGTATTTCTCCTCCTGTCCTTTTTTTTCTCTATGTATCATTAAAGAAAAAGGTTCAGTGCTGCTTTGGTGCTAGAAACAAGACATGAATGGGTATGAAAGAGCTTCTGCATTTTCTTTGCCTAGCTTCTTAATCTACGATTACTGATTAATGCTCCTGAGATATGCTCTGCTATTAGCACTTTCCAAATCAATGTTTCATGGCAGCAATCAAAGCAGGGACCCCAAACATTACCTCAGCAGTGTCAGATGACAGAGGTATGGCAGGAAGCTCAGTAATCTCTCAACGCTCTGGTCACTCAATGAATTTCCAGACAGACTGTAAAACATGGAAGGAAACAAATTCCAAGAGAAACAGGGACAATCTGTAGGTATTTCTATAAAATGTGCATGGGGGCGTTACAGGCAAATTCTGAAAAAAGGACATGTCCAGAAATGCCCCGAAAGTTGGGCAAGATTTAGTCCTTACAGGCTGATCTCTGTGTTTCTCTACGTCCTATAGCCAATTAACATTCCAGTTTTAAGAGTCTTACTTTTGCATTACTGTAAATTTATAAAATGATGCTACTGATGTATTTCATGCATGCAATATGGGTATGATGTTCTTTTCATTTGCTATTACTCAGTTTTTGTCCTGACCAGTATTATTCTAATTTTCTTGGCGCCCAGCTCCTGCCTGGAGTGACCAGCTCTTCAGGAGTTCGGTTCATGGCTTAGTGGGCCAGGTGCTCTTGCTCTGGCTATACTGCAAGCCAGGGTCTCGAGGAGTAGATGACAACGCTCGTGTCCAGCCACACGATTGAGGAAGACTATGAGAACACATACGTGTTCTTGGGTGTTTACACACAGACACGGTAGACTTAGGAGAGGCCAAACTCTGAAGAAGAGAGGGCAGTGGAAGGTGTGGGTTTATCTAAGCATCTGGGTGAAGTTTTGCGGGGATTTCTAGGAGGCTGTGGTGAGAGGAGAGACGATTTACACCAGTTGCTAACCTGAACACCGACTCTGTATCTGCAGGTTGGGGAGACAGACAGACAGACGGGCAGGGTTGCCAAGTGCACAACACTTACTCAATTTCTGTCAGCTGGGGACATTGAGCCAGTATCTGGCACAGCCTGGTCACGTCCTCTGGACCCACTCCGCAGTCCCTGAGACTGGAGCAAACAAAGCACTCAGGAGCTAAACATTTCACATGACCACGGTATGGCAACACCCCCTTCATATCCCAGAGCCTCACATCCTAGGGCAAGGCCCATAGCAACCCTCTCACTTCCACTACATATGTTTTCCTACCCACAATCTAGGACTGAGAAGTCAAAACCTGTGACAACCAGATGATTTCACCAGCTCTGAGCTGATTCAAGAGAGCCAAGTAGCCAAACTACCATGTCACTTCGGGTGTTGCCTCCCTAGAGCCACATCACTGGTACTTAAAATTGTCTCAGGAGACTGGACAGCATCTTTCCCTGCTCAGCACTGTCTCAGCTCTCCCAGAGCAAGGCTGGGAATGGTACCTCCTATCTCCTTCTCCAAGAAGGAAATCACAGAAACCTTCCTGGGTGACAAAATGGCAGGTGTCCGTGGGACGAATGTAGCAGCCAGCCAGATCTGTATCCCATTATTTATGGGTAGAAGCTTCCCCTGCAGGAAAGCAAGACAATCCCTACGAGCCTAGGCAAGCAAAAGACTCACTATTATTTTCATATATATGCCTGTAGCAGTGGATATCCCAAGTCTACCCCAAGAGGGTGTATTATTCACCCAGCCACCTCTGGCACATCACTGTGTCCCTCCAGTGACCACAAAGCACAGATACCTGTTGGCCTGGGTTGATGCCAGCTGGCCCAACCTCTTTAAGGCTTTGCCAAATTACACCAGCCAAGACCTTCTCCCTTGTAACCAAGTGTTATTTTGGGGACTGGCCTCCCTGATGAGTTTCAGCAGGGAAGAGGGTGGAAGAGAGATATATTAAAGAGGCACCTTTTCCAGAGGTGTCTCATGTGGAATCAGTCATGATGGGACACAAGCAGAGGAAAGAAACGTCTGCTTTCCGAGAGAGCTGAGTCTGTCCCCGAAGGCAGGCAGGGCACAAGACAGCTCTCTGAGGAGACACAGCTGGAGGGATGGACCTGTTCCACACATCACACTACAGATACAGACCCCCACAGCCATCTCTCCCTGCACTCCTGGGTGACAGAAGGAAGCTGGGACTGCCATACCGAAAGCACCGTCCTGCTGCTACGTGCTTGGGATGCGCCAGGAAACTACTTCTCCATCTGCTGGTACTTCTGACCCTGGGGAAAGAACAGTTTACCCCGTGAGTTGTGCTGATGCTATTGCCCCTGAGTAGGTGACTCCCCACGCTGTGGCTGGGGAAGAGGGTGAGGTGGTGGCAGTGGCCTCACGCTCCAGTCTGCCTTTTCTCACCACCTGCCAGAACCAGGTTCAGGTTATCCCCAGAAGAAAAAGGGCCTTATCATCCCTCTTCCAGCCTCCAGAGGGCTCTGCATCCACTCAGCACTTCGGGCATTTGCTCTGCCCTGGCCTGGGAGGGAGATGACTGCAGCCCCGATCAGCAGTGGGATACTGCCGTCTGCTCCATACCCTCAAGCGGCTGTCAATCAGCCATGAAACGGCTCACCCTGCTTCCACCACCCTGACTGGAGTTTGGAGCCAAATGGCTCTTTAATTGGCCCACTTCAAGGACTCACACATCACCATCTAAGATTTCATAAAGAGGAGTTTGAAAGGCTTAGACAGAGGAGCGGGTATGATTTTACCTGATTCTTTCCCAAAAGGTTAGATGAACCACCTGCCTGTGTCCTAAGCTGTAAGCAGAAAAGAACATAATTAGGATGGAGTTTGAAGATACATGCTCCTGTATCACTCCCCAAAAACCACAGCTTGAGGTTTTAAATAGCAAAAAATAAGAAAAGTACTCCTGGTCATACCTGAGGTTCATTCTTTTAATGTGTTCCAATGTAGATAAGGACTGAGCTAAGAAAAACACAGAGTTCAGGGAGATCTGGTTGTCATTAAGCCTACAGGAAGAAGAGATGAAATCAGCTGCTGCAAGCAAAAACTACTAGCAATTTACACTGCGTCACCCAATAATAGCGATCCTTGTCCAACACTCTCAGAGACTGCTTCTTTGCCACCTTCCGCCTGTGTTTCCAGCTACAGTTCTGCAAACACAACTCACTCCAGTACTTTTTAAATTTGTCCCTCACTTTTGGAGTTCAGAGAATCACAGAATAATTGAGACTGGAATGGGCCTCTGGAGATGATCTAATCAAACTCTCCTGCTCAGAGGAGGGTTAGACTAGAGCAGACTGCTCAGGACATTGTCCAGCTGGGTTTTTAATATCTCCAAAGATGGAGAATCCACAGTCTCTCTGGGCAACCTGTTCTAGTGACGGACCATCCTCACCACACAAGTTTTTTCTTATGGTTAAATGGAATTCCTTGTATTTCAAGACACCGATGCAAGGCAAAAACAACTCTTTGGCTGTAAGTGCAGCTGTGGCAGTACAAAACCCACACTAATTAAGATCACGCTCGGGTCTATTAGGTCTACCACAGTATCTGACCGTGGGCAGCGTGCTTGATGCTGGGAAAAAAAACCCAGATAAATAACAGCAGTGTGTTTCATTGCACTGACGTGAAGAGAAGCTGCAGACTGTCAGTAACTGGAACAGTCCTGACTCGAGAACAGTTCAATCGATCAAACAGGAACAATAAATATCTCTTTCAATAAAGACGAATGGTGCTATACTCCTTAAGTCACAGTCCTGTACAGTACACTTGCAATGGGAGTGCCAGGTAGAATACCCAGGTAAACATAAGCCACCATTGCAGCTGAATTCAGACTCCACTGCTGAAGCTGGAGCTCCCCAGCATTTATCTTCCAAAGGTGCCCACCTCAGGAGAGGAAGGACTGCTCTCCCTCCCGATGGGGAACCGGGAGAGGAAAAATTCAGTGACCTGCTAAAGATCTCGGCGTGTTTTAGAAACCAGGTGCCACACCTGCACACAGATCACCTGTCTCCTTCGTGGAGGACTGAGTACGGAGGCTCTCGGGCACTGATCGCAATCAAGCTTGAAGTGGAGTCAATCTGTTCTGGACTAGAGGTGGGGACAGACCAGACAGCACAGTGCGTCTACCCTCAACAGACACAGAATATAACTGCACTTGATCCTGAAGAGCCCTTCCCAAATGTGGACTGTGCTTCCACAACCAATGCTCCCACAAAAACCCACCCATGAGCAAGGGAAACAGGAGCTACTCACTTGAGAGAACTTAACATTTTCAAATTCGGGAGGAACTGAAACAGCTGCAGAAGTCCCTCGTCTCCCAGATAATTATTTGATAGGCTAGGATTTAAAGAAAGGCATTTAATTTTCATAGATAAAAAACAATAGGCACAATCAACTCTTAGTAACAAGAGCTCTGAAAGCAGAACACGGGCACCCTAATCCAAACAACACATGCACTGCCCCTCTCCAGTGACAACTAAAGCCTACATGGAAACCAAAGCCTGGAATTAACCAACATAAGACAGCCAGAAACCTAGTTCAGGGCTCATCCTTTTCTCATGTCCACCAAGTGGCCCCTCTGGACCGACAGTGCTTTTTAACGCAGTTACCAGGGACCAGAAGTCCACAGCTCTGAGAAATGATCAACCTGGACAGGCCCAACAGAGGAGCCACGGGTTAGTCCTGGACAAGGATATTAGGCTCTGATGTTAGCGCCTAAGGACTGCAATGGGCTATGGCCCATGTGAGGTCACGGGACGTGATTGCTTAAGAAAAGCAAAGGCTAAAAATCTCTTCCACGGGCTACCAGGCCTAAGGGAATAGCCAGCCCTCAGGTGGTGGCAGACAGACTACGTGCTTGTGCTGGTCCTTGTTCTGTCCTCAAAACCTAGATGGGGGGGGGGGGCGCGTTAAATACTAGTAGAGAACTACCAAACTGCCTAGCTAGCCTTTCCATCAGGGCTGGGTCTGCTCACCTCTTGGTGTTAGCAAAAAGGATGACTCCCCACACACAGCGCTAACAGAAGAAAGTGCTTTGGTGCTGAAGGTCCTTGCACACCATATGTGGGATCACCAGCAAAAACACAGGCTGCCACCCTCGTTTTAGGTGGGATTCTTCATGCTCTGCAGCTTTGCTCCCAAATGGCCCAAAGGCAAAAATGACAGGGCAAGGTTTTACAGCTTTTTTAATACCTGAAGTCAGGCTAAGTGATCAAACAGCCCCTTTCTAGATTTATGTCCTGCAACCTTTGCCCTAAGAGAGCACTAGAACTGTACGTCTCCTTGGCAAAGGATATTAGCCTTGTGTAAAGCTACACCTTTCATAAGGCTACGTCTCTACCCCATTCTCCGTACAACACTGCAGAACAAACAAGTGGCATTTTCTCCATATTCCGAAGAAACGCAGATAAAGACCATAAGAGTTAAGAAGGACTCACTCCAGCTCGGAGATGCTGCTACATTCCTTCAGGACTGCATACAGCTTCTCCAGGTCACTGGCTTGAAAATGACTGTCTGTCAGTCTAGGGGGAAAGAGAATCAATAGTCCATGTCTGCAGGATTGCAAAAAGCTTCTAAACTTCACTCCTTCAGAAAACCAGAGAATAAACAAGGAGATAATAATGAAATTAAAAATCCCCTTTAAATATCTTGCTTTTTTTTTTATGGCTGCAACAACTGATAATCTGTACTTTCAGCTCTTGTCTGCAAACAGAGAATAAAGAGAGAAGGTAAAGAAAACTTGTGGCACAACAAAGAACCAGGTCCCCAAGGTCCTGGTTAGAAGGCTTTAGGCACAACTTCTTCCTTCCTCACTGCAGCCTACAAAACTGTAAGTGCGCTTACAGGCGCACTCTGTGCTGGAGTAAGAGCATGATCTGATATGCATCTGAACACGGGTCCAGCTTAGGATGCATTTCTCCGGATATCAGTAGAGAACCCCCCCAGCATCACAAGCTCTGTCACCGCCAGCTCCCCCACCTCCCCCACGGGAGCCGACGCAGTAACCGCACAATCGCCACACCAGTTCTGTGAATAAGATACACAACCCACGATCTGTTTTGACTCCTGTAGAAAATCACAGACGCTAACAACAGAGCTTCTAGTGCTGCAAGCTGGGACTGTGAACACAGTGACAAATGACTGACTGAAGGGGCCTTTACCAGCTCTCCTGTGATTCACCTTGGAGATGCAGGTGACATCAGCTATAGGATCCAGAGGTAGGACATGCATGAAATACAAGGAAAATTTGCCATGGTACCTTATTTTTTTGGAAGCAGTAGGTGTCTGGTTTTCCTCTCCATACTGTTGGTCATCGGTAGAGAACACAGGCTCTTCCCTAGTAAGTGAGCACAAAACCAGACAAGGGTAAAACACTTAGGCTTTAGCAATTTGGCAGGTCCCTGTGGCTACCCTGGCTCTAGCCCACACCCATACCTTGCCAATAGCAAGCTCTTTTTTCTTTCAGTGATTAACCAAATACTTGAGCGTGCAGGCAACTGGGGAGAAGGGGAAAAGCCAGATTTCTCATCTAAGCTACAGTTTGATGGAGAATTCAGCTTTTGCCTAAACATGTTTTGTGAAAAGAGTCCACGTCTGTGCAAAAAACTGACTATTCATAAATAAATGGAACATCCAAATCCTAAAATATCTGAGTTTGAAATGTCACCTGGTGCCTTAAAGGAGTCACAGATCATATGTCTCAGGCTGTCACTCCCTTTAAAGCATAGCCACAACAACTGGGTTGCATCCCATGACAGCCCTGCTGTTCCTCCCCAGCTAAGAGGTGGGATGCAGGTGTACTGTGGGAAATACTGTTTTACAGTGGGCTCAGTCCATGGAGAACACGGGCATAAATAAATGAACCTACAGCTCCAGGAGCAACAGGAAACCTTTTCTCAAACAAAACATTTGGGTTGAGCTGGTTTGACCCATAATTTTCTGTGGGGAAAAATAATACTCCAGATTTATTTTGATTTAGGAGTACCATGATCCAGAACACATAGTGTAGTGAACTAGATGGTTTTAAACATGCAGGGATCTGTGAATCTTTTTGAAATTTGGTTTGGAGGTGTGGGGTTCACTTTTTTTTTTACTGTTCACTATTATCAGATAGCACAGCCGTCATTCAACAGCCTGCTTTGCTTAGGATGCTGTGGGTTGAAATGTCCCCTAGAGACATAAAACGTAATCAAACACTATAGAAGGCAGTGGACAACTTCCAAAGTGGCTTAGAAAACCAGGAGAAAGTACTACATTTAGATTCAGAGGGGAGGGGGGGCAAGAACTGCTGTGACATGAAGTGTTAGCCTTGGTACCTCAACAGGGTGTAAGAACTAAATGACGTGCTGGGAAAACACCATTTGTGCACACACACTCTACCTAGGAGGAAGGGAAGCAAACTCTCCGTTTTCTGTAAACCTCAGGACTGCAGTCTCATGACAAAGGCTGTGAAGAAGAGAAGGAATCAATCGATGTGACGTTTTGGTTATTTACAGGAATTCTCGTTTTAAGAGTGCTTGATTTTGTTCTGCAAAACTCTTTGGTGACACCAATCACTTAAAACACTCCCAAAGCAAGCAAAAGATAATCTCCATTAGTTTTAAATCCTGGTTGGATCAAACTATGCAATATCAGATGACCCGGTTTCTTGGAACCGAGAAAGTGCAGACAAAATTGTTACGCTTGAACTCCAGGGGGTTTCCAAGGGAAAGTAATAGGAGGGAACTTCCAGCTCCACTCCAGGAGATGTCACCAGTTCTCACACTCCACAGAGATGCTCTCTCCAAAACTTCCCAGGGCAGAGAGTAGGAAAGAGTCTAAAACTGCCCCCACGCATGAGAGGACACACAGTTCTGTACCTTCTCAAATTCTGGTTGATGGCTCAGATAAAATCAGCTTACAGCAATGTATTACCAAGTGTCAGTGTTAGTAATCATCTTTGGACACGTTCTTCACCCGCCCCACTTCCGAGGTGACTCAACAAAAATCTCAGAATCTAACTCTCAGACTTGTATATTGGGATTAACCTCAGGAATGATTCAAGACCTACATACCTGACTTGTACCTCCATCATCTTCTGGCAGGTATTTACTGACTTCAACAGACTGCAAATGCCATTAACAGAGAGGCAGTTTTGACTGAGACTAAGAAAGATAAAAAAGGCAATTAGCTGGGCACTGAAATCACCCAGGACTGTCCTAGTGGAAGTGGTCATCGGTGTGCTGCATGCTTGAACCCATTTCACTTCAGAACCGGCATGGTGGAAAACACACAGGACCACTACTCCTGGGAAAGGGGTTTTAATGAAAGGGCACTTCAGCACTTCAGACGCACTTAGAACAGTTTCATGCGCGATGCTCTGAGCAACTTCAGGCTGAACAGTCTCATGGGCTGAGTCTCATCCTTCCTTAAGAGTGCTCAGAGCTGCTTCTGTAGCAGCGGTCTGGGTGAGGCCTTTGCCTCCCGGATCCCTGCTCAGCATCTCTGTACGGTCCTTGCCAGGCTCAAGAAAAGAGGGCAATTTGGTTTTGTACAAGGCAACACTTACTCCAGCTGCTTTGAAATTGGTATCCAAGGGAGGCTTTCCAGCAGGCAACTGCAGCCTTCATCTCCAAGCTTGTTACCTGATAAACTGAGGCATTTTCCAGTTAGTGGGGTCCATTTTGAACAGTATAAACAACAAAGCCCTCAAAATCTGCTCACTTCCCCTTTCCTACAATTGCTTTTTTGTCTGGACTGTTCTTCTGTCCCAGATAAATCTTCCCTGCTTATCTCTGCATGAAGCAACTTCAGACAAAGGTTTATCCCTAGGACAACATGATCCGTGCTTTAGCCCCAAAAACGTCTTACTTTAGAAAACCTAGGTGGGAGTACAAAACAAGAAACCAAATGAGTGAGTGTTTACTGTCCCTCTGGAAGGAAGAAAGGAAGAAAACACTGGATGACAAAGATCTCCAGATCCCAATTCAAATCAGTGAGCTAGAAAACAGGGGTTTGAGGTGTAGCTAAATTCAAGATACAGTCTGGACTGAACCATCTTGCAACAGATATTCCTGCATTTTCCAGGGCAGATAGGCTAGAAGGAGAGCTTTACAGCCAAATCCAGATGGCCTCATATATTGGCAAATAAGGAAAGGTAGGGATGATACTCATTGCCATGTGCAGGTTATGAAGTGGATCTCTTGCCTTCCTCCGCTCACTTCTCCCAACAGAGCTGGATGGCTCTGGGAGACAAAAGGGCCAACACAGAAGCAATCTGTGTCCCTTCACTGGCTGAACAGTCACTGAAGTCACTGAACTGGACTGAACTCCTCCTGAATCCTCCAGGATTCGCTGGAGGAGCTGTGCCTCTGGGACGGTTCCATACTGCCTCCAGCGTGCCGCACTGCTTCGTTAGCAGGGTCTGCTCTGTAACTGGCTTCTCTGGTTACAGTCTCAGGGAGCCAGAAGCTGCGGTTGTCACAGGTTTGTGACAGGTTGCTCAGCATTCACCTCCTGCAGAACCTCACCAAAAATCCCTAACCAGGATCCCACTAGACATAACAGAGTGCTGGGACCCTTCCTTGGGGTCAGGACCCATCCCCTGCTCCCCGCCACCCGCCTGCAGCCACTCAACAGGAAGGAAAGGAGGCACTTACTCCACTTCGGAGAGACAGGGACAGCTCTGGAGAATGGCAACGATCTCCTTTGCATGTTGGGAAGACAGGCTGCGATCCTGCAAGCTGTGAACAGGTTAATGAGCAGTGAACCGGCAGCGGGGCCCAAGCATTTCTGGTGCCTCTCTCCAAATGAGGGCACACAGACGCGGTACCAGGAGAGGGAGGTTTTACTCTCCGCTCTGCCACACAATCCTGGGCATATTACTCTGCCTCTCTGTAGCCGGTGCTGCAAAAGGAGTGCAGAGGGACGCACTTGCAGAGTGCTGTGCAAGTGCAACGCCTTGCGTCAGAGCCGCCTGGCGCTGCCATCCACGAGAAGGGGATGGATGTAATTGTTCCTGTTGTGCAGAGTAGCGAGGGAAAAAGAAGGAGGTAAGGGGCCATTTCCCAGCTTTAACGTGCTCAGGTAACATGCCTGAGTTCTCCTATTTTGAGAAAGCCACTACTCTTTCCTGGAGCCCAGGCAAGAAAGAAAACTATATGGCTCATGCCTTTGGTGGCTATAGGAACATATGGCAAGATGGGCATTATCAAGGGAAGTCTGCCTCTCCAGGGCTGTGGAGCCCAACACACAAGAAATAAAGCCACCGGCTGGGCCAGATAGGGATTTCTATTGTTATTTTTGTTTACTGATTCAGGTTTATTTCAAACTTTTTCATATGTGGAAGTATCCTCTGTCCTTAAGGACCAACACAAGCTGCTGTTCTTGTCCTTCTGTTGTACCTGTCATCTGCAAATCACATTCACTAGCAGGAATTTCAATGCCTTCTCTTACCATAACTTCACATGTCTAGTTGGAATTACATGTTCCTTCCTCTCTTCCCACCTCAAATCCAAAGATCTGCAAACAAGCAAAATATTTGACCTTTAATATGCCTTGACAAAATATGAGGACCTGGGAGCTGGTTAGTATTTTCTGGAAGTTTTCTGGAAGAAACCATAAGGTCTGAGTTCCGTCCAGCCATTCCGTGCAAGGTTAAGCGATTTTCAAGAGCCAGAAGACCTCCATCAGGAGATGGGAGCACAGGGGGTGTCCACACGGGATTCCACTGTACCTTTGAATCAACTTGATAACTGAGACCCAATTCAAAGGCACTACTAAGATGCACGATGTTTTGCCTCCATGTGGGATTGTGCCACCACAGGAAGGGATAAACATACCCACCTGTGCCAGGCTGCCTACAACAGCGCAAGATGGATGTTCGGGCATCTGAATAGGAGCAGTTTCTGGCTGACTCAGGGCCAGGCTGCACCAGTTCACACATGCATGCCAAATATTGTGAGGTCCCTTGAGGACTGCACAGCACAGGGCAAAGTGAGTTCCCTATCAAGGAACAAGAGATTGTTTCCTAGTTTCTTAATTAGGGTCAAATCCACCCTTCCTTCAAAAGTATGCACAGGCAGGGAGAACATAGGGGCCAGCCAGAGAAGGAGCAGAGACTTCTCCTTTGTTTATCCTCACATTCCACTGTCCACTGGCTTCAGCATCAGCGGTTTTGCAATAGGAACACAGCACTTCAAGCTTACACAGGCAGTAAGGCATTGCCTTTGTGGAACTGGCTGGTAGGTCTGTGCAAAGACCAGCTATTTTGGCTACCCTTCTCCTCGCTCAGGTGGATCCAGCTCTGCCAGATGCAAGGGCAGAGGCAACCAGTTCTGTCGCTGGAGTGGTTTATAGTGACACCAAGCTGATGGTTTGAATCAGCACAACTCTGAATATAGCATAACCCCAAGTGCAGTTTCTCACCTTGGAACTTTCCCAGATGGGCCAGAAAAATATATCATCACTGTGTCCTTCCTGAAAAAGAGATCGAAGCCAATGTTAGGGCACAGGTGGAAGGATGCCATTTCTTTAGTAGAGGTGCTTAGTAAGGACCAACGCCTGGATGCTAGAGGGCCTTGACATCTGCCACGCTAGCACATTGCCACAGGCGAGCAACTGAGCAACCATGTGGCTAGAGGACAGGACATTCCGCATGTTGAACTGGGGCTGCAGTACAGACAAGAGAGTAAAACAGTTAAGAAGATTGGGCTGGGAGGATTTTTTGCAAGACCAGCAGTTTGTTGGAAAGAGGTTCAGTAGAAACTCCATTCCAGCAAGAAAAATAAGAAAAAGCTGTATGCAATTTGACTTCCCTTGAGTTACACCAAGGATTAATCTGGCCTGTTAAACTTACAACCGTAAGAGCTAGGATTTAAAAATTCCACACTTTCTCTGTCATCCTGGAGCTATGAAAAAACACCAAAACCTGTAATTTAAAGGAACATAGAGCTACAGCTACTTAAATCCACACCTTTTCAGTAAACTTAGCTGATTTATAGCAAATTTGTGCTAGCTAGTGAAGAATTTCCTGGTTGATATATTGCAGAGCTTAAAAGCAAGTTTAAACTCTGTTATATAAGAAGAAGTATTACACCCTGCAAATCAATTTACAGACCAAGGATAAAATGACCTATTAAAAAAATACAAAGAGAAAGTCCATAATGTGATGAATTCAAATTTTGTTTCAAACAGAAAACAAAAAGGATTAAAATTAATTTTTGTTGACTTTCATTAGCCAACAATTAAGCTGTAAAACAGTATCCATTTAAAAAGTCAGCATCTAAAAAGAGACAACACGTTTGTTTTTGTAACAGCTCTCATGCGTTGATACCTGACACGCAGTTCAGCGGCGTTTTGACACGCGATGACTTCCTTTGCCAAAATGAGAACAGCATTCAAGGAAAGGTCGTTGTTGCTCAGACTGTGAACATGAGGAAGAACACAACCTCAGCTGCTGGACCCAACAGCACACTCTTTTGTTACGCAAATGCCCTCTGCTCCACACCCAAACACCCTGAAACAGTGGTTTAACCCCAGCTGGCAACTAAGCACCACCCAGCCGCTCGCTCACTCCCCCCCCGCGGTGGGATGGGGGAGAGAATCGGAAAAGCAAAAGTGAGAACACTTCTGGGTTGAGATAAGAACAGTTTAATGATTGAAATAAAATAGTACTATAATTATAATTATAAATTGTAATGAAAAGGAAAATGACAAAAAGCAAGAGAAATAAAACCCAAGAAAGACAAGTGATGCAAATGAAAAACGATTGTTCACCACCAACCGAATGATGCCCAGCCTGTCCCCAAGCAGCGGCTGCGCCCCGGCCAGCTTTCCCCCAGTTTATATGCTGAGCATGACGTCCCACGGTATGGAATAGCCCTTTGGCCAGTTTGGGTCAGCTGTCCTGGCCTTGCCCCCTCCCAGCTTCTCACTGGCAGGGCATGAGAAGCTGAAAAGTCCTTGACTGGTGGAAGCCCTGCTCAGCAACAACTAAAACATCGGGGTGTTATCAACATTATTCTCATACTAAATCCAAAACACAGCACTGTAACAGCTACTAGGAAGGAAATTAACTCTATCCCTGCCAAAACCAGGACACACACATTCTTTTAGCTAGGGGATTTCTCCAAAACTTCAGAATTTTGCATTTAGGACCCAACAAAAGCTTTATCAGATCATAGTTCTTCTCTGCAAGCTATAGCTCCCCTGAATTTAGAATCAGAGATACTTCCCCTATGTGCAACAGAAGAATCATTAACCATTTTTGGGTTATGTAGGGAATGTACTTTATACCTGTATGACTACACAACCAGCCTACAGTGCAGTTAAACTCTTGCTATAACAAATCCAATTTAAGTATGGCATATTGAAGTAGTGTGGTCTAAACCCTCACATTTACAACATCCCCGAAGACACAACACTAGCAACCTCTAAGGATTTATTCTTTAATTGCATGTTTATTCTGTTTCACTACTTGTTGAACCTCATTAAATATGACACATAAGGTCTTGCTCCTACAAATCCTCTGCTTGTTCTCAGGGCCACGGAGCACCATTCCTGTGAGCCTCGAAGGAATCATCCATGACAACAACCACTGTATGCGTGTAATAGAAATGTGTGAAGGAATGAGGCTTACAAATTGCACTGGCTTCCTACTCTTCCCATACGATAAGCTGCTTCACTGGCGACATGCTGGCGTTTCCCACAGGCTGTTATCCAGCGTGCCCAGGAAAGCAGAGGAGCAGGTACGGTCCCCCTTTCCTCCCTCTTTCCAAACACTTCTAATCATACTGCAAAGCCAGTAATTAATTCCGGGATGGGGTCCAGCAATAACTGCAGGTATTTGGGGTTCACCTGCTTGCGCCCAGGGGTGTGTGGAAGACCTTTAAAGGCAGAGTCACTCCCTTTTAACTGGGGTGGGCAGGCAGTGCTGCGGCTTTGCCTTCCCCCAGGGGCAGCACAGCTTTGTGGCTACCCCTCTCCTGTAATGCAAACTCTGAGACTCCAACACTTGCAGCAGTTCTGCTCTGCTCTGCTTTGCCTGCTGCTGCTTAAACTGCCCCTGCTAGCTTTTCAAAGGCTTTAAATCCCTTCACAAATCAGGCTGGTTCTCTCCACCTAAAAAGATGCAGATCCATGTTGGGAGTTTTCCTAGCCGTCAGTCCCTCTCATTCAGCACTGTGCTGTTACAGGAGTGTTAGAAGAAGGAGTACAGGAGAAGAGGGCTAGCAAAAAGGCTGGGAAGACACGGATAGAGCCATCCTCTCTTATGCAGAGGTGAGGCATCTCAATCTGAGCCTGGCCAAGGGGAAGAGAGGGGAGGAGGCAGAAGAGGAAAAAGTCATGCCAGGCACCAAGCTGAGCACATGCATTGTAATTCCTGGAGAGGTGTCAGTGGTGCCAGGACTCCCCTGAGATTATTTTTAAACACCCGGGTAAGAACTGTGAGGCTGTATCTACCTCAAAGTGAGCCAGGCCTCCAGCACAGCCCTGCTTGCATTTAAATGTCTGTGCCTCAGCTTAGAGCCCCACATGTCCCCCACTGGCATCTCTAAGAGCGAATGTCACCCCTTACAGAGACATCCAGCAACTCTGCTCTGATGAGGATTTAAACTCTCTCTGATGCTATGCTTGGCTTCATAGTGGCTACCATTTTTAATAGGTTTAAGCTGTTTTTACTCACTCTATTTTCTTCAGCTTTTCCATTCTGGAGAACAGGTCCATCACCCTCTTCACCTCCGGATCCCGTATCCGATTGTCCTGCAAGCTGCACACAGACTCATCCTCATTAGTACCCCAGGTCCCCAAGGAATGAGCGGTTGATTTGAGGGGCATTGCCACAACAGACTCACTTTATTTCCTCAAGCTGGAGGCACTGTGATGAAGCCTGGACCAAGTTAGTCATCCCCTCAGCCGTGATGCTCCCGCCCGTCAACCTGGAGAAAGAAAGAATCGTTCAAACCAAGCAGAGGAAGAACTAGCATCCCGTGCAGCGCATGGCAAGCCTGTCTCAGATGTGGGCCTGCACCGCACTCCCAGCACACCAGCACAGGGAGGAGTTGGCCTGACTCCTTCTCAACCAGGGCAACGCAATACTCCTCTTGATACCAGCATAGAACAAGAGCCACACATATCCGTGCTGCTCTGCAAAGCACTGCGTTATTCTCTGTAGAGTGCTGCACAGAGCAGATCAGCCTTGAGTGAGTAGATGTAATTAAACTGCAAGATAGAAACAGAGGACAGATAGAAAGAGAGGAGGCTCTGACCTTACAAGCAAAGACTTACTCTAGTTTCTTCAGGCTCCCCATTCCTCGTAAGCTCGTTGAAAGAGCAGAAGCAAAGTCATCGCCACATCTCCTACTACGAAAGCTAAAACACAAAGAAAAGGGAAAAAACATAAACACAACAAAAACCGAAATAAGCTAGCCCACAAAGCATGTTAAAACACGATTTAAAAGAAGCATTGAATTTCTCTCTTAACACCCATTGTATCATGCTCTTTTTTGCAGCATCTTTATCTTTTCAAACATCTGTTTTAAAAAAAAAAAACATTACACTTGCACATCAACTGCAAATACCTCAAGAGATGGCTTCTGCCTTTTGGTACAGTGGCACCATGAGTAAGTGCTGCCACAGATGAAGAGTCAGCCCTATTGCGTGTCCCACAAGAGTCGGGACCCTGGAGACAAGGGAGGTCACACAGGGGCAAACCAAACTCATACAAACAGAGAGTGTCGAACAGCTCCCACGTGATGAGCTGCTGAGTTACAAGAGGGTTGATTTCAGGCCAGATACTTTAAATTTGGGTGGCAGAGCAGCCAGAGTTGTCCAAAATATAAAAGAGACAAGGTTTTTAGGGAAAGTACCTCTTTTATAGAAGGAACTGGTGGTGTTGGAAAAAACAGACAGACAAACAGGTAAGCTTTCATGCACACAAGCTCCCCTTTGAATCAGTTGCAGGCTGTACTGATTACAGGATGTATTGGCACAAAGCACCCTGGGCTGCAGGTCTCCCACAGCGTGCTTGGGGGCCATGAGAGCAGAAACCCACCTATGGCCCTGTTGCCCTAGGTGCCTCTGCCACCTTCCCCTAAACCAGAGGGAGTCAGGAACAAGCTGCAGAGGTGCGGCGGCATGACAGACATGGCCCTCGGTCACTAGGAACACGCCTGAGGCGATGCTGCTTCTTTAGACAGGTTCTGTACAAGCAACATGCAGCTGAAATGCTCGGGGTCCCACTGCCCTTTGCCCGCCCTTCCAAGAGACAGTACTCAGAGTGCTAGTATCCTGCGGACCATAAACGAAAGCAGGCACGGACCTGAGTGTGTATGAGCTGAGGAAGAACCCCCCAAAATCCCCTGTTCCGTTCTCCTAATGCAAGGGAACAGCCCAACCACCCCCGGGCATCTGCCTGATCTGCTCTTTGAAAGCAGAGGACTTCGTGCACTGCCCTGTGCCTGCATTAGCAATTTAGAGTTAGGATGTATCATCAGAAAACCTTTCTAACAGTAAACTAAATGGTATTCCTATTCTTCTTAATGGAGGCAGAGAACAATCGATTACTGTCCTTTTTACAATGATATCAATATCCAGGAATAGCAGTTTTCACGTCTCTGTTTCTGCTCCTCTGCTTTACAGCAGGCAACATCATTCCCTTCAGGTCAAGGTAATTCTCACCCTGGCTGCTCCCCATCTTCCCCACATTAGCAAACTCTACACATATTCCTCCAAGTCATTCACAGAAATACAGAACGAGACCCGTTCCACAACAGGATCCAAAAAAGATCCTCCTTGAAAAGTCCCTCCAGCATTACAGCAAAGCACTGACAGAGAGCACCCGAGAGTGCAGTTGTCACCTCCTGTTCATCTGGCTTATGGTGATTTCACTTAGATCACAACTTTCCCGTTTGCTTGCAGGACTCGCCCTGCCTTTGTATTGTCAAGAAATGCCTATCGTTTTCTCTTTTATTTACTACACTAAGTACCCTGTTGTTTGATTGTTTTAATCAAATCAAAGACACATATTAAAAATACAGCCAGAATGGATTTATCACCTTACTATCCTTCAATCACTCATAAATTCATTACTTCATAAACTTCTTCAGTATCAAAGTTATGCTCTTCAGATTAGAATTTCTCACACCTTCTTTCTCTCCCTTCTAAAACAAATACTAGGCTTGCCCTTCCAACCCCTCAGCCCTTCTCTCCACCCACCAGCTCACAGCACTCAGTGTGTTTACCTCAAGTGCTCTATATTGTTACAGCCGGCCAGAACCTCCAAAGAGTCAATGTCCATGAGACATCCTGCAAAATCCAAGTAAGTCAAATCCTGGCCCGAGTTTATGACAAAAACCAAAGCCGACATGTCCAGAGGTGTCAGTCTGAAGTTTTTAAACTCGTACTTGAAATTCAGCAGGCTCCCGATGTGCTGGGCTACTTTAAGGTCTTGCGTTTCAAATGTGCAGTGGCAGAGCTCAATGACCTTAGGCCCTGTCAGATGAGTGGCTGCCAGTTTCTTGAGAGACTGCAGGATTGTGTCCTGCTTATCCTGCACCCAAGCTTCATCTTGTTCAGCTAGCAGCATGAGAAATGTCCTACATTCTTTTGATGACAAGCCTGAGAGAAAGATGTGAAAACTCTCCATCAACTCGGTCTTTGCCTCATTCTTTAAAGTCCACTTTGACTTCAAAGAGAACTTCTTCTTCAGGTAGTTCTTGTCCACCCTCTTACTTACCATGAGACACAGCGCTGCAAAAAACTCCTGCAAACTCAAGTGCACAAAGGCATAGCCAGCCTCTGGGCAAGTGCCACTCGTCTTCACCTCAAAGACAGTCAGCAATCCATGTAAGGAAGCAAATTCCTTCACGTGCTCTGGAATATCACCAACATAAAATACAAGCTTCTTATCTTCCAGGCCTTTCAGTGCAAGATCACACAGACCCAAAATGGCCTTCTTGTTGCAGTTCAGCTGAGTCACCTCGCCATCGGCATGCTCTCCCTGCTGTTTGTTTATGAAGATGAGAAGCATTTTGATATAAAACTGTGTCATAGTCTGAGGGAGCTCCACACTCCTCTGATGTTTAAGGAGCAAATACTCCAAACAGACGCACACAACGTAACACAGAGCAGGGATGAGGCACATGCTGAGGAGCTTGGTGTTGTTCTTCAGGTGAGCAATGGCTTGTTCTTTGAATGAATGCTGATGAAAATAGTGACTGACGTATTCTTCAACCTTCTCATGGTCAAATCCCCAAATTTCTGCTAGCAGATCTACTGTGTTTAATAAGAAGTTAGGCAGTCTCTTAGGTCGGCTGGTGACCAACACTGTGCAACCAGGCAGGAGCTTCCCGTGACAGAGGTCTACAAAGAGCTCAGATATTGACATATGGGAGGTAAGAGTTGGGCCTCCCTTAGAAGAGGATGACAAGTCCATGTTAGCTGCAAACTCATCCAGCCCATCAAAGATGATCAGTGTACGCCAGGCATTTTCCAGGAGGTTCTGGAACACTGCATCAGGGCTGTCTTCTGGCTGAAGGAACAGGTCAAACAAAAGCTCCTTCAGAGTCAATTTTCTTTTTAATAAATTCAGCTGCCGAAACTCAAACAGGAAAGTGAAGAGAAACTGAGGTAGGACACCTTCTGCCCATTTCTGACAAATCCTGTGCATTAGCATGGTCTTGCCTGTACCTGGTTTACCAAACAAAAAGATCACCTTCGTCGTGCCCGATGGGACCACACTACAAAACAGATCTGACACTTTCACGGCTGTATCTGCACATTCTTCTGGTTCAGGAGCACCTGCCACATCTTGTCGGGGTTTATCTGTTCTCTCTTTTAAGTGGGAGGCTTTGCTGTGCCGGATGACAAGGTTGACAAAGGCTTGGCTGAAAGCCAGTGGCTGCGTTTGTTGCTGTGCTGCTGCTCCTGCTGCTCTCCTGCTTCCATACCTCTGCTGGATAGAATCGATGAGGAGATGCCGGTACTTCCCAGCTGAATCTGAGAGAGAAGACAACAGAGTGAGGGTGAAAAAGTTAGTTCTGAGCCATGACAGATCCAAAATACTACCACTCACACACAGCGAAACAATGGCCCTGATCAGAGGCTGCTCCACCGAACTGGGTAGAGATGGCAGATTTTGAACACATGAAAATAACCCATAATTTTTCCTATTTTTGCACAGGGGCCGAAGAAGAAGAAAATTCAGGGAAAAGGTGAAACAGCTTTATATAAAAACTAAATGTAATTATCTCTTTAAGATGAGAATTAGATATTGGTGTATTATGCATATAATTCCCTGTTCACTAGCTCCCTGTTCACCCATGCTGGCCTTGTGCCACACTTGCTCAGCTACCTGCACCTCGGAGCAGACCTATCTTTTGCTTTGAGAATCTGAGATCCCTGACGGTACCAGCATCTCTTTGTTGAAGAGAGAACAGTGGTGATAATTAAGGGCGCTCGGCACCTTCTGAGAAACCCCATCCTCACTGCTGTTAAGTTTGCTGAGTTTTGCCAGCAGACGAGATCTGGCCTCCTGGGAGCACCTCCTCAAGAACCTTCCTGTATGCAAACTTTCGGTCAAACACTGGCTCCAGCCCAGCTGCAGCTGCCAGCTTTGCCATGCTCCCTGTGTCCCCCCACCAGACGCTGGGCAGCGCCAGCGCCAGCCCCCACGCTGGGCCGCAGGGATTGCAAGGCTAAAAGCATTGGTAGAAAAGGGTCAAGAAGGACAGATGATGAAGGAAAGGATGTGGACGCCGCTGTTACACAGCTCGCAGGTCTGCTCAGGCTACCCAGCCTTTCCTGGAATTAATTACTCTGCCTCGACTTTGTCATTGCTCATCTATTTCAGTTACTTCTCTACTTTAGGGTGAGCTGAAATCATACGAGTTTTTAATGTGCTAGGGAAACTGTGGAGCCTTTAGTGGGTTTTAAATTGTCACTATGTCTCCTGATTTCATTAAAAAAAAGCAAACAAATACAGGGATGACCTACAACTGAATGCTTTACTGGCATATCACACTTTAAGGGAGTTCTTAGCCTATGCCATCTGCACCCCTTCTCCTCAGGTAGATTTAATATATCTCTGAAATGGAAATGGATGTTTCTTGTTATTTGCCAGGTCCCGTTGTCTGTATATTTTATAACCCGTTGCATTAAGAGTTTATGCAGCTACTAAACAAGTTTCCCTCAATGCGGGAGGTTGATTTCTTGGGTGTTTCTGCAAAGAAGTTGAATAGGTCCTTCCTCAGAGGAAAGCACACCACCACTCTGCTTCTGGAACATCTACATACCTAGTCGTTGCTGCTTAATATCCTTATCACTCACAGAGCTGCTGCGATGGCGGCGGCGGCCAGCAAACCCTGAAAATTGAGAAGTCAGAAACATGTCAAAAGAGCATTTTTGAATGGCAGCTTATTAGAGCTGGGCAAGACTCTCCAGCAAAGCATTTGGGGAGCTGAAGAGGCAAAATTGGAGAGACAAAACTATTTGCAAATTCAAGCTGAGTTTACAGAACTGCTTTTGCAAATGTTGAAGTAAAAGCAGAGGTGCCTCTAGCTATAGAAAGACAGCTTGGGCTGGTCCTCATGAGGCTAACCCATCCTCTTGTCCCACTCTGAATATGCTACACCTCTCAGGAGTGACCTAGGGGTCTGGGCTGGTTTAAAGACCTTCAGTAATGGAGCTCCCTGAACTTCTCCAGGCAATTCATTCCAACATTTCAGTTTATTTATATAGATCTTCCTAGTGGATAACATCAATCTTGCCTGCCACAGTGTGATCTGCTGCTTCCCTGTTCTATCCACTTGCTAGTGGATAACATCAATCTTGCCTGCCACAGTGTGATCTGCTGCTTCCCTGTTCTATCCACTTGCTAGTGGATAACATCAATCTTGCCTGCCACAGTGTGATCTGCTGCTTCCCTGTTCTATCCACTTGAGTGTTTTTGCAGAGAAGTTAAGTTCCTCCTCCCTGGGACACATGATCAGCTACAAGGATTCAACATTTATCTAATACTGGAACGTGACTTTACACTTCGCAGAGCTGTTAATATCCAAACCTTACTGTTCTCAGCCAACAGCAGCTGGGACATCAGAAACAGGAAGGTACAAGCTGCTGGTGGAAGCCTGGCTTTGAAAATCTTTGCAGGAAAAAACGTGAATTTTAAAAGGCATGTTTTGCAAGAAATGCGTTAGGTTTAGCAAATGATGCTCAGATCCTTTTGCTCAATCCCCTCATTTGCTTAGAAGCACAGTGCTAAGCAGTGCCAGAACCTTAGCAAAAAAACTATCGCAACAGCCCATCAAAAAGCATCCTAGGAAATGACCCTACTGGCAGCACAGCTGCGGGAAGGCAAAAAAAATGAGGTATGTGCAATTCTGGGTTCGGAGGAGCATACAGAAGTAGAGAGAGCATTAAGGGCTACAGACAAGCTAATCAAAGACTTACACCACAAGCACTGCAAAGTAACCTAAGGCATGGAGGAAGTAGTTCTGAGCATATGAAAGAAGCGTGGCAGATTTGAGAGAGAGATAAACCAAACAGCAGTACCACATATCCCAGCTACACACTGTAGCAAAGCCCACAGCCCAATTTCTTTCAATTGTTCTCCACTCCTCCTTAGGATTTAAGTCCACCCAAAGCAGGATAAGCCCAGGTGATTGGACCTGAAAGAAAGCAGGAGCACGAAATATCAATGACTAGACATAGCTCCACAGAAAGTTTTCTTGTGAACGAAGCTAGCTGCCAGGTCAGCCTCCACGAGCTCAGCTGGCCAGAGAGCACTGGGTGAAAGAGCTAGATATACTGCTGTGAAAAGCTGCCCTGCATTTCCCAAGGCTGACCACAACCACCTCACTGGTGAGTCTTTTTGTAGGCTGGGCGATGCATCTGCCTTGCTTTGAGCACAGGAACAGCTCTGTTACCCTGGGGAACAGGGCAGGGAACGGCTATTTCTGGAGAATGCACAGCCCACAGATTCCCAGGGCTGTTTATGGTGATTAATTCCTTGTTCGTTTACGGTGCTCTCTCAGATGGAGAGAACGGGAAGAACTGAGAGAGGCATGAGTCTTTCCTTTCTTAAATGGTCCTAGTAACTTTCAACACTATTTTCAAATTTCTATTCCACCAGCAACTTGCGAGATCGACCACCGGTGCTCACGAGGGTGGCACAGCAGCTAGCAGCAGCGGTCTGTCTGCAGAACAGAAAGGTCGCTTTTGTTTTCAAGATCTGAAAACTGCATGTGACACACAAGATACAGTATTTGCAGTGCCCTGACTCAGCAGCAGTCTCTGAGTGAAAAGCAGAGGCAAAAGTGTCTCTGTGACCGTACCATCAGCTGGAACTGCAAACGGTGGGCTGGGAGGTACGATTTAAAATGGGTCATGCCAGCAGAGATGGGCAAAGCAGGGAGTGCTCACTGCTCAGGGAGCGCAGCGCTAAAAGCGCTAAAAGCCTGCCTCTGTCTGGCCAGGAGCAGGGAATGCAAACAGCAGATGCAAACACACAAGTTATAAGGTACCGAGGGCACTGGCAAACCTCAGCAAGAACCAGAGCCAGCTCTGCAAGAAGCTCCTGTGGCTGTGAGTGTGAACCTTAGCCAGCCCCCAAATTCACACAGCAGGAAAAAAATGAAGAGCAGCTTTTCCTTCAAATCACCTATTTTTCACCAACGGGCAATCCAGCGCCAGACCCACTCCCTGCCACCAACATTAAGCACCTCTAGAGGACACAAGGCCTGCACTTTGCTCTCTGCACTGCCAGGGTCCCAGCTCAGTGACTGCTCCATGCTGCAGCCTGCAGAGCACAAGGCTTCATTTCCTCCCGCTTTGTTTTCCCCCAGCACACATTTCAGGAGGACACAGAAAACTGACGGCAGCTTTCTGTGATAATTTGGATTTATTCTGCCGCTGCCTCCACTGTTTATCCTCTCACAAAGCTGGATGCCAGAATCACATCCTTTCTTTCTCTTTCTGCTGTGAGACTCTTCACGTGGGGAGGACCTGGGCTGGTGTTTCATTTTCTGGAAACTGAATACCTGGTGACTGAGAAGGCAACTCAGAATTTAGCAGCTTCCAGTTATTCCAGCAGCTGTTACATGAGGGCCCAGGGACATCGCTCAGTGGTGGCACATACCTGCAGTATTTTCACATTGCACCAAAGGCTTCTGATGGACATTCGGGTGATGGATGCCGCTGCAAAGTGCCAGGGGAAGAGGAGGGATCTTGAAAATAAATCCCTCATTTCATGATCTGCACTAGGTAGGAACGCCTCAGTCCCAAATTCACCCCTGAAGGAAGCGCTAGAACTACTACTATCTGTTCTTTTAAGCTCTGATTCTGACAACTCTGCAATGGTTTCTGCTGGATCAGCTCCTGAATAGTCTTTCTGCTCTTCCTTTAAAAGCCAAACCAACTTCCTCCACCTACCAATGAGCCAACCACAGTAAAAGCACAAAAAATGGGGCTTTTGCAGAGTGGGTGGGAGATCCCCTTGGTTAGGGAACTAAAATGAGTGAGTTCCTTAGCAGAGTCAGGGCCAACAAGACTTTTCTGAAATTCAGGGAGAGAAAACGAAACAGGGGAGGTTCATCTATAAAGCACCAAGAACAGAAAAATCAAACCTGAAGTTGCGGTGGCTTCCCCACACCTTGCCAGCGCTGTGGCCAACATGGGACGTATGTAGCCCTGCCCAGCCCATGGGCAGAGGAGATAAACTCCAAGAGCATAAGCACCCCAGGGTCTGTTCCAGCCTTACCTTTTGGCACAGACGGCCGGGCACTCACATCTGTGCCTGCTTCTTGTTTCTGGCTGAAGTTACCTAAACGGGTTGGATTGGAAATGAAATACAGTTACTGCGAGCGTCCTGCTCTTGAAATCTGGGGTGCTGCTGGCCAAAGTCGAAAGGCAAGCAGCTCACAACACACACAGTGGTACAAACCAAGACTCAGTATAAGGGCTGATGCAACACAGCCAGGTTTCAGGCTCCCCATCTGATCTTTTCCTTTCAAACTGCTCTAAAATACAGTTAACCTCTGCTTTCAAGGCAGTGGAACAACTTTTCTCTACGATACATACAAACTCAGAGCATGGGTGGCTTTGGCTGACTTAAAACCACACCAAAGCCAAAAAGAGAAGCCCTACTCTTCCCCATTCCCGCAAAGGAGGTGTTTCTGTGATGAAACCGTTGGCTGAGTCAGTCAGCAGCCCAGTCAAGGGCCTTTTCTGATGCACTGCACAGCTCAAGCTTCCAAAAAACCCCACTCAGCACAGCCAGCCCCACAGACAACGTTCACAGAGCTTCAGAGGGAGATCCTCCTCAGGCCAAACAGGAGTCCGCATGCCACCAGGACTCTTCTGTTCAGATAAACCCATGCCTGAAAGCATCGCTCTCCAAAATCAGATGGGAAGCCTTCATACATTAATTCCTCTCACTGTGATTTCCAGTGTTTCCCAGCTGGGACTGCAGGTCATTACTCTGCTATTTCTAGCTCT